TATAAGGGGAGAGTGACTGTTTTGTACAAAAGATTTTGCATAATCAGTAGATAGAGACAGATCTTCAATTGGAATAGATATTGTCGCTTCAATTCAGTTTCAGTTCAAGAAAATTTTAAATAGTGCCTCGACGAACTGTGTATGTTTTTCTTGAGAGATGCAATTGATTTATTATGTGATATTTTGTGATGAGACTGTTTTGTACTGATTGTGTAGGCTGCTAACTTGGCCAGGTTCTCTTGAAAAATGATTACTTATGAATCTCAATGAGACCTCCTCTTTAAATAAAGGTAAAATAAAAAATAAATCAAAAATTGTAGGGCTGTGCAGTTACTTGAATTTGAATTGAATCAAGATGAAATAGTTTTAAATTGTGATGAGGCTTTCAACAGGTCTATCAGCCAATCCTGTCACAGTAAACACATGTTGTTTGGAGTAGAGTTTGAGCTCTTTGTGTGAAATGGCACGGTACTGTAAACATTTATTTGTTGATTAAGTTTATTTTGAAAACTCAGTCTTGTCTATGCTCATTAATCTTGCAATTAAGTATTTCAAGAGGAAGAAAAAATTGTGATTCACTTTTTGCAATATTGTTCATTGTATCATTTTAAAAAGTTTATTAGGGATACATTTTTTATTTTTTTATGGACAGCTCTAAAACAATTCATATTTCAATTTGTGAGCATAAAGTTAAATTTTGTATTTATTTTGTTGTACCAATTGTAGTAGTAACTGTCTAGTATTATATTTCAATTTCTCTAGAATAACTCTTGGCTTTGTGGCTACAGAAATTTGGCTTCAATTTATGTGTGGGCTGTTGCTGTTTTGCCTCTGTCTACACGCTTTAACCTTTGACTTTATTTTATATTCTTAATTCTTTTTCTTTACACATTATTGTTACTCAATTAACACAACAATCACTATTACATTAGATATATTTTAATTGCTTAAATCTAAGTGCTATCTTAATGGTGAACTGTGTAACTTGTCTGGTGGAGGGTCTGTCACCTGCTTGTCTCCATGGAGATGTACCTAGAATGTTCCACAGTATGGCCAAACTTAAGACTCTCCATGGAGACTTGCAAGCTAAATTACTGGTTAGTTTTGCAGAGAAACGATCCCACTCACAGTAAGACTTTGTGTTTTTTAACATATTTTTTCAGCAATAAATAACATGTTTTTTACTTTTGCTGTTTACTGTTTTAGTTACAAGCACCTACAACCTTGGATTTTTTCAACACAATATTCACAAACGATGTAAAATACTATATTGTGGTAAAAGCTGTTAGGATTATTTGACCTTAACATCATCACTACAATAAGATGGAGCATTGTATATCAATAGACAGGGATTTGGGCCTTACATTGTTATTGTTGTCATAAATATCTCAAATTGTCTGTTTTCCTGTTGATTTACGTCTATGGACATACGCAGTAGTCGGCCATTTTGCCCCATTAGCCCCGAACCGTGAGTGTGGAGCCTCTTGTTTATACAGCTGGGTCTGTCTTCACTGCAGACATTTTATCTGCGCACACATCGAGTCACACTCAGCAACTACAGAAGCATCCACATTGTTTATGAGGGGAGTTTCTACTTTGAAGAAAAATGGACAATGCGTACATTATTTTCAAGGTAATTTGTATTGGAAGAAAATGTAATTTGTGAGAAGAAACTTGTGACAGTGTTAAAGAGTCCATACTACGCTATATACTGATCTATGTTATAATCTTGTTTCCTCATCACAAACAGACCTGGACTTGTGTTTCGTTTCATTCACATGTGTTTAACGCATAAACCCTGTGTATTTAGACTGAGTGCTTCTCTCAAACAGAAACTATTGTTCTGCTGCTTCACTGTGTTTTTAAACTCCACACATCTTCACTAGAATCATTTGGATAATTTCAACTAAGGATTTGCCAAACACTACTGAACTAAAAGGTAAAAAGGTAGCTGTTAATGACATGATAAGTATGTAGACAGTCTAATAATGCAGGCTTACTCAAACATGTGTGAATGAAACTAAACAAACTACATGCATGTTTTGATGAGGTAACAACATTATAACATGGCTAAAAACTCACAAGAATCAATTTTGCGTAACATAAGACCTTTAAGCTGTGTCTACAATGTTGCACATTGCATTGCTTTATCTCACATAATTAGTTTTTGAGTGTCCAAACAAGCGCTATATAAATCTGACCCATTATTATTAGAATTTAAATGTATTTGGCAATGTATTCCATTATGTGGTCCAGTCTGAGCACATACTAGTCCTGGTAAAGATCGGGATAATTTTCAAACATTTTTTTTCACTATACCTGCTATATCTGATTAGTGTGTGAGTATTTATTTTCTCAGCACTACTATGAATATAAAATTAATCATCATTATGAAACAATAGGCATATACAACATATAGAATAAGCATTTTTATTTGTTTTTTGAAATGTAGTATATCTAATGACTGCAATATTCAGTACTTTGAATACTCATGGGTAATAATGATAATGTGCATGTGTATTGTAGTAGCAGGTACCAGTCTTCCATCACGTATTCCTGGTGTGAAGGATATGGTGCTTTATCACGTAGACCACTGATCTTTAACCAAAATGCTCTTTGTATTTCCTCACTTACTGTGACAGCCCCCACAGAGCAGAGCGTCTCCTAGCTGTCCGTGTGGGAGAGATGGATAGAGGAGGGGGTTAAAATGGCTCAATCCTAAATTCATGTACAATTTGTCAGAGAAGGAAATGGAGTGACGTCATCTTTAAAGCAGCCCTGCCTCACTCTGGTTCTCTTTCCCCAAATACACCAACAGCCCATTGTATAACTCTGGAAAGTACAGTATTATGCATATGTACACTGCAAAAAACAATATCTTGCTAAATTAAAATGACTTAAATTAAGAACATTTTAATTTATTTGAGTAGATTCAGCTGGAAGGAATAATTATGTTTCTCTTAATTCAAGCAACATTAGATTTTGTAATGTGTTTGTAATGTGTTTTTATTTCAAGTGTAGCAAGATGTGTTTTCATATTTTAAGTACAAAAAGTCTTGTTAGATTTTAGTTTTTGCAGTGTACACCACAGGAATGCACTTTGATACCGATATCAGATATCGGCGGTGATACTGAAACAGGGTTGGATTTCTGCTTCCAAAATATCGGTTCAGGAGATATCCTGGTTGGGCATATAAACTGAAGACTGTTTATTGGTCATAGTTGGCCCAGAATGTCCCATAATGTTTGAAATTTTATTTATACTCATTTGTTCTGGCATTACTTGAGAGAGATAAATGACAGCTACGTGACACTTTTAAATCAGTTCTG